CTATGTCGGCTAAAAATATGAAGAATTAAATTGTGACGGAATGCTGCAAGTTCTTCAAATACCTATAGAATGATGAATTTCTTTTTTGTGAGTGTAAAACACTTAAATACATCATTTAAATTTCAAATGTTCTTTTTCAGTAAAACTTTATATTTTATCTACCATAACTCTATACAAAGTTCGTCAATTTGACTAGCCTCATAACGACCAAAAAAAAAAATTGAAATAAATCTAAGTTACCTTTTTTCTTTCCAGAATGACTTCAAATTGTAATATGAAACTACATTTGTTTATCCTAAATGGCATTAAACTCATAACAGTATACATCTACTTATGCTTAAATTTCATTGTTTTATTGTCCTTTGAGTCATGTCTAACCAATATTTGCACCAAGTAAATTGTAACTCACTTGATAAATGTGTAGCTCATGTTAACCTATTGAATTACATAATGCACGAGCTAATTGTAACTCACTTAATGAATGTATAGCTCATGTTAACCTATTGAATTACATAACGCACGAACTACTTGGGAACTGCTTTTGAGCATATGTTATAAAAAACTTTTATTATTATTTTACCTAATCTAAGATAAAAAGTTTCTAATTTTTACATTATAATAATTATAGGACATTATCTGCTTTTTACATGTTATTATTCTGTGTTCTTAGATGCATTATTTAATTAAATAAGAAATTATTTAGTGTAGTAGTACCATTAGTATAAAAATTAGGCTTAAGTTTCATTGACAGTTGACAGCAAAAAAATAGAAGACCCAGGTTTTTCATGTGTATTCTTTATTTATTATTATAAAAGTAATTAAAATGTAAAAATTATAAACTTATTAGGTTAGAACAGGTAAGACAATGAAAAAGAAACTAATAAAAATTCTTCAAGAGGTATGCTAGCGAGTAGCTCATGCATTATATAATTCAATACAGTATCATGAGCTGTACATTCACCGAGTGATTTACAACTTGTCTGGTGGGATTATCAGTTAAACATGATTAAAATGTCAATAAAACAATAAAATTAAGTATAAATAAATGTACAAATAAACGATTGTGATTTCCTGTTACAATTTAGATTTAATTCCTAATTTTTTCTGGTAGTTACAAGGTCAGTCAAACTGACCAAATACATATTGTTAGAAAAGAGAAAATAACAGATAAAATATAAAGTTTTTCTGAAAAAAAAAACATTTGATATTTATTTCAGAAGTTTTAGAGGTTATGCAAATGAAATTTGACAATTTTCAGATGAAGAAAGGTATTTGTAATCTTAACTTGAAAATTACTTTGCACTTGGAGCAGTCAGCATCCTGACTCTATATAATTGTGGACAAAAATTTAGTAAAATTACTGGATTTAAAATTCTGATTTTTTGTCTACAAAGGACTTTGAACGTTTACTAAAAGCATGAAAAATTTCATGAAGATACATTAAGTACTTTTAGAGTTATAGTATTTTAACCACCATAGTTACATGGTGATTACAAGGTTGTGATACAGGAGCCCATTGCAATATGTTTAACCTTAGGAATCTATTATGTTTACAAAGTTACATCTTCAATTCAAACAACTCACCTCTTCTGCTGTTATCTTTGGTCTTAAGACAACATCAGCCAACAGTTTGATGACTGGCTCCAATCCACGGGAATCTGCTGAAGCAGCATAAATCATGGTATCTCTGTCAAAACAAAAACCAGAAATATAACATCCAGTACTTAAGAAAATATACTTACATGAAGCAGAGAAATATGACAAAAAAACACTAAGAACTTCTAAATAGATGCTATTTAGCATCTAATCTATTTCATATACTGTTCTTGTGGACACTTACAGTCAAAAGAAGAAATCTCATGACCTATGAATCCCTATTCCGAAACTACTTTTTTAACTCGAAATAAGTGATTCAGTAAGAAATTTCATGTTCAACATACAGTCAAATCACTGTTACCTCTTCACCTAGAGATAAACAAATTACATTTCCTTCAAAATCATGAAACTAAAACTTACCTTGAACCTTGGCAGTCACAAATACCACCATGCTTTTCCAATTCTTGAAGAATTGCATCTTTATCGGGAAAATCTCTTGTTGACTAGGGAAAAAGAACAGCACAAAATTTATCTTTAATGACAATTGAACAAATAGAGAACATCAGTTTTTGTGATATAAAACTACTTAAACTCTTTATAAAGATTATAGCTAAAATTTCTATTTGTCAACACGAATAATACTTATGCTTACTTTGATTTGTTACACATTATGTTCTACAAACAAAAGTACCCGTCCCCAGTGATGGGAAAAGTTTAAGTTAATCTATCAATTTAAATTATTTCATGGACTTTAAAAAGGTTAATTGTGTTGCACTCTTGGCTTCACTCAGAGTCAAAACTCTGAGCTACTTATATCACCCACCAAGAAAAATAATTGTTGAGCATTTCAATCATGCTAAACAATAACATACAGTAAATCTACATTTTTATTCTTTAAGCTACATCGCATTTTGAAATGCGAACGATAGTGTGATTAATTCCTAACAAATTAGTGTAAAATATCTTGCTTGTGAAATAAAATTTGGCATCAACATTATTCATGCCTATTTTCCCATTATTTCAAAAGTAAATGTTGAGCTTTGCCTGTGTGTGCAGCTTTTTAAACGGGAGACACACACCATAATTCACAATATATATGAGAACATTTTCATTTAATGAAAATGAACGAATAGAGAACAGCAGGTCTTGTGATATAAAACTGCTCAAACTCTTTATAAAGATTTTAGCTACAATTTCAATAAATTAAGTCACTCGCTCAGGTGTGAAAGTCTTATACTTGACAATTTCAAATACTTTGCTTACCTGTATAAAAACATGTAATATTGTTATATCGGGGGTTCCTAAGCTTTCAGCAGAAAAATATTCAAGATTAATTCCTAAATGTTTTCAGAATATTTTCCTAATTTTCAAGAATTATTTCACATTTTTCTGAGAATTTCTAGCATACTTAAAATTACAAGTGCCCATAATCAACATTATAAATGACATATTTGCATAGGGTTAATAGTACAACTTGTTGCAAAATTTGTCATCATAGGTTAAGCACTATTTTTTTTCTATAAAAATATTATATTACAACCAATAATTTTCTAACCCTCCACTGCTTTGTTTTGATAGGGATTCTGGCAAATATTCTTAAGCACTGCTCTTAGTGCAACCTCATCGAAACACGTTAATCAAATGGATGGAGAAAAATATACATGTTTAACAATTCAAATGATCAAACAATTTACCAAAATAAGTATTTGAATTGATTAGCTATTTATTTTCTTGCCAACACAAACACAAGTTATTTTGCAATCATGTTTCATTAGTGTTGATTTGCTTATTTTGATATATTGTGCCACACCAAATTTTATTTAGAGCCTTAACAATTATGAAAGCTTTAGTCGTAAACATTTTGATTATATGAAGATGTAAGGCAAACTTATAACAACTTTGTTTCAGGGTATATTAATATGATTTATGGCTCTAAATTTTCAGATGATCCCTATATGAGACTATAATTTCAATTTCCCAAGCAGTCTTCAGACATACAACAAAAAAAATGGTTTAAACCTGCCTATCAAAACAAACTATCAAAATTGTTCTATCAATTGAAACTACAACCACTGACGTTGTAACAACTGATGGCTTGGGTGGCAAGTCGTGAACATGTGCAAACATTTACCAACATCTAACTATGTCATAATTCCAACTGTATCAAGCTTTCTGATTGGATAAAGCTTTACACAGGTTGATGACATACATTATGCAACCTGCCAATAGTACACAGTGTTGCAACCTAAACTAAATGATACTTATGTGACCAATGAGTAGACAAAATAACCTTAGTAAGCAAAGGAACATAACACCATAGGTTCTTAGATTTTTATAAATTTTATTTTCCCAAATCCTATGTAGATATCCCAAATTAAAAAAAAAAATCTGATATATATATATATTCCTAGATTGAGAAATTGTTAAATGAAATTCCAGAATGTTTTTCAATTTCAAGAATGAATGGAAACCCTGCACATACATAATGAATGTAAAGATTTTTTATGCTATGGAAAATAAATATCAAATATGATACATACTGAAAACATAATAATTTTTAACCACTGTCTATTGGTCTGAATCATGTTTGGATTATAAACTCAAAAAAAAAAAAGAAAATGCCAGAGCTCCTTGATGGTAGCTGGCTAAGAACTAACAAACACTGGCTTTTAGCTAGCAAACTACTGTTACTTTCAAATCCTGGTATACATAAAATTCTAGTATTATCTTACTTCTAGGTGTAACTTCTTAATGTTTACAAGGTATTCCTGTCTTTTCTATAAGCAAGTTGAAGACAATAAGAAAATGGAAATAATTTCAGAATTTACTTTCCTAGCTTATAATTGAAGTATGAGTAAAAAAAATTGATTAAGAAATTTTTTGAAATGACACATTTCCTTGATTGCACATGTATGCATTAGCAAGTGATTTTGGCTTAGTTATGTGGTACATGCCTTTATATTCCCAGTAGCAGGTTCAATAAATCATTCAGATAGTGATATAATGCTCCATATGTAATAAATATAACTTTCCTTGGTTGCTTGACTGGGCAAGTTAACTGATAGATGATCATAGATTTAATAGGCTAGTAGCAAGTAAACTGATTAACTTAAATTATTATTAAATTGACTGTCATGAAAATAATCAAATAATGTACTTTTTTTTAAGGAATGTAATGGAGTAATGGGGTCACAAATAACACTAATGTTCCAGCTCTACTGCCAATTTAATATGGTTATTCCTGTGATTAATACTACCTTTATGATTTGTATAGGAGAAAAATCAAACAGTACTTTCACTATACGAGTACAAAATATAAACCTTTGTTTTTTCCTTTACACTATAATGGTCGAACAAAAAAGTTAAAAATTCTACTTGTTAACAACATGACTAACTGCTATCAGAAACAAACTATACGGCAAAAAATACGTACATTAAAAGCCAATTTTTCCAGAAAGTGAGAGATTCCGCTAGGATAAGCAACTTCGTATCTCGAACCTGAGTCAATGACAACTGTTGGGAAAAAATATAAAAATAACATGTTTGACTACACTGTTGTTAATAAACACAAATACAGACAACTTAATATAACCTACCACACTCGTCGATTAACATCTTTATTAGTATATTCTTCAGTGAAACAAAACAGTCAATTACATATAATTATGTTAAGAAGAAAAAATTATTCTGAAAATCAACTTTCATGTTAACTACTTGTAACCTTAACATGTATAATCTTACATAATTATTAAATCTCAATTACAATTTTTTTTTAATATTAAATAGTTGAAGAAACCCCCAGAATGATATACCATGATTCTTACACATTGGATATTCTTATTGGTTCAGCACCCCTCAGTCAAAAACTGTATCTATATTGTATGTAATATAACACATTCATTTTTCAAAACTTCTATTAAACTTTACCATGCAACTTGTAGGTACCATCTCATTTCTTCTGAATGAGTACCTTCTCAGCAATAAAGGTACATGAAAAAAAAAATGTCTTAAGAAATAAGAACGTGTTAAAAACTCCAATCTGTAGTGGATGTATCTGTGAAAACAAAGAAATTAGCTACTGGGAGATGAAAGAACCCCAAACAACTAGTGTTGAACAAACAAAATATGAAATAAGGAACTTTTATATAGATTCTAATGAAAAACAACAACTCAACCTTAAATGGAATGAGCCCTGCTTCAAGAAAACCATACATTAAATGATTCTAATACCTAGAAAGAACTGAGACCTCTCCAGATAGAGCTAAGTATAAAGTAGGCATTCTTTAGTCTACCAATCATCTTCAAAGGTGCAACAAGTAACAGCTCACTCTAACATTATCAATTATTGACCACTTCACACACAAGCTTCTTTATAATCTGATTAAAGTTGTTTGATTTTATTGCAAACTGAAGATACAAAGGCCAGAATAATCAGACATGACAAATAAACAAGCTACCTGCTTGACAGCTCACCTACAAATATCCAAATTGATCCATTTCATTGTTAGTGAAGTGACTGAGGTCTCTGCACACAGAAAACTATATGACATCTATGAGCTAACTATTGTTTATATGGATCAAGCCATTTGTAATGTATGCTATGTACATGTACTTAACACCTGCTACAAAATGTAAATTGAGATTAGTGATTACTCTAAGTTCAGTAGCAGCATTTTTGTATTTTTTATACATTAATCAAAATTTCCATGTGTAAATGCACTTGTAGTACGCAATTTCTGTGCATAAACTCTAAAATGTGTGCAAGAAATATTCAGGATTCCTGGCAACTGAAAACCCTGAATAAGAGAATATTTCTCTTCGGAGAATCCATGTTGATTTTCTTTTATGATATAATATTTCACTAAATAATTTTTAAAGCTCTTTTTTTATATTTTATCAGTCTCTACAAATTTTTCTACTATAGAAGTAAGACTAGATAGCCTATAGTTTCCAGGGCAAGTCCTATCACCCCTTTTAAAAATAGAAGTAACATTAGTAACTCTTCAATTCTCAAGCACCTGTCCAATGTTTAATGACCTACCAAAATTAAAGGAAAAAAGGCTTCCATATCAAATCTTCAACCTCCTTTTAAATCCTGAGAAAAACTTTATAGCCTTATTTTTTTTCAATTTTTGTACTTAATACCAAAAGATTAATTTGTACATGATTCAGGTCAACTCCAATATGTCATATAGAATGCTTAAGGTCAGAAATATTGTTAATATCTTTTATTGTAACAACAGAACAAAATATTTAAAAGCTCAGCTGTCTCATAATTTTGTTTTTAAACTTGCCATCCATATCTTTTAAGGGTTCGATTCATATTTTAACACATTAAAAAGTCCTTTAAAATAGCTTTAATATTATTAGTTAGCTGTTTCTCATAAAACGAAGAAAAGTCAGCAAGATATCTCTTCTTACATAGTTTTATGTTTAAAGAATGCTGGAATATTTGTTGTCATATGTTTTAGACACCTTCAAGAAAGATTTTCAAAAAACTCTCACAAAAGACCTTATTTTTTTAATATCCAATTGTCACATTCCTTGTTATAATGAGTCTCTACTTTGTAGATAAGTTCTGACTGTAGGAATAAAATCCAAACATGATTTATATAACTCATTAGGTCTTCATTCTGGCTTTCTTATGTAATAACCAAGTGTAAAATGAAGCAAATTTGCATTATGAAGATCTTTTTTTCTTTATCAGAAATTATTGGGGCTAATCTCTAGGTTATGTGTCTGTGAGTCTTCCTGGCATTAAACTGTCACTTTTAAATTCTGACATATGTGAATCTAAGCTACAAAAGCAACAACATAATGTATTGTTATACTACAAATTTTGTGAGTTTTAAAGCACAAGTTATATAGGAGGACTTAAATTTCACAAACTGATTACATTTACCAGTTGGAATTAATTACAACACCTTAAAAAGTTCCACATGCATCCCTTAACTGTGAAAATTGAAGGTAACTTGTCATATTCCTAATCCTTAATTGTAAAATGAATTTATATAAGATAAATAAAAACATCATATAAAAAATTATAAAACTGTTATAGACATAATGCCAAAAGTTGAATAAATTAAGAAAATGTGAATGTTTCTGAAAACAACTCAAAGTCTGAATAATTTGATTATAGACATAAAATGGGAGCTAAAAAAGAATAAGTAAAATTTAATAGCTTATAAATCTATGATGTATATAATGTTAATGTGAAAAAAAGGATTCATGGATAAAAAATAAAGTGGTTATAGTTTTCATGATATACAATTCATCATCATCAATCTTTTCTTTTGTTATAATTCAAAATCATTAAAAAAGTATATAGTAACATTATAGCCTTAAATTTAACTGTTGTTGTAAGAATTTATGAAAACATTTTTTTTGCAATAACTTATCAATATAAAATAACTTGCTATTAATTGAAACTTTTTTGAGGCTAGATCAGACACTTTCACAGTTCAAACATTATTTTTCTTACCAGGAGCGTAAATCTCAGGGTGGGGGTGTATTTCCCCCAAGTTTTTTTCGAGTGGGGGATAACCAACAATATCACCCCCCTATAATTTATTGCTGCAAAATGGTGAATGGACCAGTAAGTCTAATAATGAAATGATAACGACTTTATCTGCATAGTTTTAATTTACTCCTCCCACATACATCTAAATTATCATCCCCCCACTTCCTACAATAAATTTATAGACCTGTTTCTTACATATTACAAGCACATTTCTAATCAAAGTTTGAACCATATCTACTGCACCTCCTACTGTACAAAACTGTCCAAATTTGTTTTGAGATGCTACACGCAGACCATTATTTAATGTTGTAATGCTGGTAGAATCTTGCTTATGATCTGCTACACTAGCATAAACTGGCTTTGGAAGACCTGGAACTGAATCAGTCAGTGATATATTACAAATTTCTTCTGACGAGGAACCAGTTGATGGACCACTGCTCTTGTGTCGCAATGAATGACTTCGAAAACATTCAGAACGAGAACTTGTAGGGAGAAAATATATATGTTTATACATATATTATACACAGTTGAAAAAAACAAGCTTTTTTCATTTTATATGTCAACAATAATAAAAATATACTACAACAACTTTACATTCTGAGCACAGTAAGATGCATTCAAAGTTTCACAATCAACATTAGTAAATAAAATTACTAGTATAAAGTTAACAAGGATATATATATAACATTTTTACAAAAATAAATTTTAGTATACGGATTAAAAAGTTAAAATTTTTCATTCAAACTTCACTGTCATCGCCATCAAGGATCAAATTATTTTTTTTTATACTTGTTAGTCTTACAGTGCTTTTAGGAATTCTCAAAACTTGTCATGCTGCTCTGGATAGAACAATATTAATCTTCTGTTCATACTGCTAGAAAAAAAAAGTTGCTGTTTCTCAACTTAATGGATTTCTTTTTGCTCAAAAATCTCATTCAATTAAATTTAAATATTTATATTTCATCTTGTATATTTACAAACTTTCTACTAATATTACAATCAATCTTGGATGTAAGAATGAGTAAAATGATTTTTTTCATTTTTTCAAGACTGTTGGGTGTTTTATAAGTTTGTAAACTAAGCACTCAACCAGGTAAATGTAAACATTGTTACTTAACAAATTCACATAATTTTTTGTTGCACATAAATGTGCCAACATGAGGTTGTAAAGTAAACACTACCACTGTGTCTAAAAAACTGACAAAAGAATTTCAATAACTACAGCTTAGCAGTAAGAACTTTTATTAATTTCATGTTAATAAGTGTGATCTCAATGCATTTAAAAATGTCTTTAAACACTCTCAGCAATCAGTTTACATGGTGAAGACAGTGGCATTTCTCATACGAGTACTTTATTATTCAGATGCGTCTTGAACATATTTTTTCACTTACTAAATACTGACAATGACAGATAAAAATATCGTGTTACTACCTATTAGTATTGCTACCACATAACAATTCAAGACTCTGTGAAAATATATAGCATTTCCTCTTACAAGTTACTGATACCATACATTCTTACACAGTAACCAAAATTGTTTTATAGTAAATTTCAATCATTTTTAGGCTATAGCTCAATAGGTAGATCTATCAGCAGTTAATTTTTTATAAAAGTGTGACAATACAATACAAGCATTGTTTTGTGAAGTCATGATATGATTGTATCAATATATCGTCTGATATGATTTATGTATCTTCACAAAATTTGGTAAGCTTTCAGTAAACATTGTCTTTTGTACAGAAAAAGTGAGAATTTCTACTTAAGTATTTTTGCTAAAAATTAATGATGCAATAAAGGAAGATGAGTACTGAGTACTACATGCTGTCATTTCTTTTATCAGAAACATTACATGCAAAATAACATATCAAGTTATCAATAACAAAATAGATAGACAGATATTAACTTTTTTATATTTTATTTCTCAGTTCTCTTACCAGCTGCCATTTATTTGATCAAACTTGATATAGGTGGCAGATGATGTTTAACCATCTAAAATGTAAAGTGATACATGTAGGTTTTCACAATTCAAATTATTGTTCCAATTCAAATGGGAATACATTAAATATTGTGGTTGAAGAAAAGTATCTTGGTGTTGTGACTGAAAAATCAATTAAATCATCTAAACAGTGTATTGTAATTTGTACTTGTAAGTTGCAGCTAGCAACAGAGCTAATAGTAATACTAATACGATTTGGGGTAATATGTTGAATTTTGTCAATTTTAATTACAAGAAATTTTGTAGATATCAATGTTTCAATGACTTAGGCATGTCTGTAAAGCTGCAAAAAAAATAATTGTTCAGATACAATTAAAACATACCTAGACAGTAATTTTCGTAAACCAATTAAGACACGCATTTTTCCACTCCTCACTACACCAGTCATCATTTTATCTGGTGGAACGTCATCTAGTGGTCGATTTTCTTATGCAAAATACAAATTAATTATTATCCCACAAACTTACGAAATATATATATGTTTTAATTTTAATGATTAATTATAGTTAGAAAACAAACAAACGAAAAATGAGTATTGAAATTATACTTTGATGAAAAATAAATGGGTATGAAATCTTAAAAACAATTGAATTGGTAAATAATGTTAGAGACAAAAATCGATTATTATATCCAGTTAAATTGATGAATTATTTATTGAATTAAGAAATGTTCACGTCTTTATTAAATGACAGAAAAGAAATCTTATTTTGTTAATATTATCATTTAAAATATTTATCCATCCAAATCAGTTAGAAACTCTGATTTTTAACAGATGGGAAGAATTAGGAAGCAAAATTTGAGGTGTATAATGTAGTTATATATGTCATTCATGTTTCAAAGTTGAGTATTGTTTGACATTAAAAAAAGAAGAAAATAACAAATAAAATTACTCAGTTTTAGGAAAACTAATTTAATAATGCAGTGTAGTTTATTAAGGCGCACATTATACATTAATAAGAATGATATTTCAGACATTTTATTTCCAACATGATCCTATTTCTATATATATAATTAATACTAATGTTAGTCTGTATGAAGATAAGATTTCAAAACAAACAAGTAATTTAAATGTTTAATAATGGCTGGAGACGGCTTGAATGGGTAATGAAGAAAAACTTTAATATAACAGCAAATGTACAACGTTTCGAC